TCCTAGATCAACTCTGACAGAAGCAGCCTGCTTAATAATAGCAGATTGTTTGGAGAAGCCCCAAATGTGTTCTCTTAGGAAAGTCACATAAAATGGAATTGAACCATTATTGAATGGTTATAAGACATCATGGGGCTTTGTTCTTTACATCCACAAAAAAAATATATGGGAACACTATAATCATACGACTCTTAAGCATTTGAGTCTTTATTCTGAGCTTCTCAAGCACAGTATCAGTCTATGCTGCCAAGATTTTTTGCTCTTATTTCCCCACCTCTCAGTAACACCTTCTCCTCACCATAGGCAGGCAACAAGGGGAAAGGGTGAACTGTGATCTGTTCCTTCTCCTGTTCTATTTTATAGGATGAAGAAAAGGTTTTGTGTGGAAAAAGCTTAAAGGTTTTAACAAGGTTCAGACATTCCTTTCCTTATGCCTGCATGTTCTGTGTTTACCTGAGAAATTTCAGTTTGGTGATATGCAAGAAATACAGAAAGAGGAACCTAGCTTTGTGCAATAGATCTAATCCTGAAATTGTTTGCTCGTCACATGTTTGTCAAACACATCAGTTTTTAATTGCTTCAGGAATTAGGTGTTCAATTTTCACCTCTTTTTTTGTTTTGTTTTGTTTTTTGTTTTTCTTACTAGGATACCGAAACAGCCACTGAATTTACTTCCCTTTGCAATTTTAGTATTTATATTTTTCTGTCAGCTTTGTTTCTTACTGGTACTGCATAGACATGTTTAGGACTATTCTTAATAGTCAACATTCTACAGTAGGTCGTATTAGGGTCAGTGTTTTTGCTGAGACCCACCAATTCTTTTCACTGTGTTTTATAATTGATTAGTCCGCCATCACCTTATAGTCCAGAGCCATTTCTTCCTCCCACCTCCACCCCCAGGGCCTCCTCTTCTCTCCTCTTCTCTTCTCTTCTCTTCTCTTCTCTTCTTTTCTCTTTTCTTTTCTTTTCTTCTCTTTTTTCTTTTCTTTTTAAGATTATTTATTTGAGAGAAAGCAAGAGAGCAGGCCAGGCAAGGGGGGACAGGCAGAGAGAGAAAGATAAGCAGACTCCCTGCTGAGCTGAGTTTGGGAGGAGAGGGCGGAGAGCTTGCCAGGCCATTTCTTATTCATAAACACTTCTTTTCAAAATGATGATCAGTTCTCTAAATTGGTCACTTCCATAAAAGCAGTGTTTTTGTTATTTGTAAGGCTTCTTACCTTTAAATCGTAATACTCATCGTATTTATCCCATTGAGGACCATTCTGGTTTATCATAAGTACATGTTTTGAGTGTTTGCCAAGCATTTCTGTCTGAATTTCCAGCCTGGTGAAGCTGGGATTTTATGAGCATCGTGTAATGTAAGTCAGGGCAGCTGACTCTTCAGTCTTTTAGTCACCGGGAATCCGGAGGATGTGTTGGTTTGAAAGGTGCTTTCCCTGTTATCGATTCTAGCTTAACCTTCAAGACTCAGCCCAAGTGCTAAACCTTCTGTTGATTCTTCTCCTCAGAGGAAGTCATGCTCCCCTCTAGGCTAACATAACATTATAGGACTCATTCTAGCAGGTTAAATCATGTCAAGATGTTTAGGTATCGGTTTCTCAAGACAACTTGAGAGCTTACTGACAGCAGAGAATTCTTACTTATCAAGCATCTAGTATGTGCCAATTACTATAGAACATGGATATACTTACTCCCTTATCACAGATGAGACAATTGTGGCTCCAAATGACAGTCAATAGATGGAGGAACCAGGGCGTGAAGCTGCCTCTGCTTTAGCCCCATTGCTGCCCAGTGGTTGGCATAATCTCTGCGCAGACTGAGGACAGAGATCAGAGTTGACCCAAGGCCAGTAATGCCTCATCCAGTTAGTCACTCCAACTAACAGTGCTCACTTTTTCAGCAGCCCCTCATTCATTAAACCTCAAGCTTCCTCTTTAAGGAGAAGTTTTCTCAGAGATCTGTGACTTTCTCCATCCTCTTAAATTCATTTGTTCATTCATTGTTCATTCATCCCTTGAATAATTAGGAGGTCATTATATGACTGGCCTTGTTCTATTGCACAGCAGAAAATGACACAAATCCCTGGTATCATGGACTTCATATTTTCATCAAAGAGACAATAAAAAAATAAAATACACCGGTGACTTATATGTTAACAGGAAATAAGTGCTAAGGTAAAATGAAAAGTAGCTTGGGATAAGGAAGTGGGATGTGTGGTTAGGAGACAGAGAAATTAAGATTTGAACAAAACCCTGAAGGATGGAAATTCCAGATAGAGGAAGCCGCTAGATTAAATGCCCTAAGGTGGGAGTATGTCCACTGTGTTCTAGAAGTACCAAGACTGCAGCTGTGTCCCAAATGGAATGAAGAGGGGGAATATTACATAATAAGGGAATAGAGTGGTCCTAGAATGTATGCAGCCCACCCCTGCTTTAACAAAATATATCTGGAGAATACCCAGTGCCTCCAAACTGATCATTTTGGATTGCCCGGTAGTTCTAGCCCACATTTGTCTTCATTGAGTAGTTTTCCCAAAATCAATGGCACTGTCTGGGCTTAGAACATTGCCTCAGCCAGGTTCAACCACACTCACTTGTATTTCTGTAGTGTTTTGGTCAATTCTTTTACATTATATTGACCAAAGTTGACAACAACTGGTTATATGATTCATAATAGGTACTCAAGAGATGTTTGTTGAATGGATGGATACATGAGTGAATGAATGAATGAGAACAGATTTAGTCTTACAACACAGATGGATGCTCCCACTTATAAATAAATTTGTGTTCTAGCTGTAGAGATAAGCTACATATTTACTTATGTTAAATTAAACCTCTGGAATATGGCTGAGTGTTGATTAAATGCTGATTACTTTTCAATGTATCCATGTTCCATCAAAGAGAAATCAGGGACAATTTTCAATTCTGTACCCTCCGAGGGTTCTTACTAAAAATACCTTGTTTCACCTTGAGCAGAGTCACTAGTTTTTAACCTAATCTCTGGGGGAAAAAAATTATTTCCTTTATAGCTGATATATTTATGTCTATAGTATAGTGATTTCATTGTCTTGGTACAGTCTTCAACTTCAAATGTCAACTACATAGTTATTCCCTTTGTTGGACTTAACCTTATTTACAGTGGTAATTTGTTTCCTTAGCTCTTCTGTAACTCAGTCAGTCTGTGGCATTTACTATTATTATAGTGGATGTAAATCAGAGTCCCTGGATTTGTTTTAACCTTTTCTTTCCACAGTTTGGAATGACTTCTATACTATTATAAATGCAGTAGATTGATCCTAGCATGTGGGTATGAAACTTTTGTAAATGTATTTTTTTAATTCCCCTATAATCATATATAAATGTAAAATAACAGTTTTGAAAAGCATGAGCTGATATGCATCATAAATTTCATAGGAAAAGCCAATTGGGAGCATTTTATTTACTCTTGGTCATCTTTTGCTCGATAAACAAATTCTTTAAATTTGAGGCAGATAGATACATTTATAGATCTATGGGATGTCAAAACATCAATAAAGAATAATTACCCACTTTAGTAGAATATTAGATAACAATTATTTTAATTGCCCTGTCAATTTAAATCCATTTTGCATTTTTAACAACTATTATAGTTAATTTAACAGAAAAATTATTTCATTTCAAATGTAATTTCAGAGGTGTAACTTTATAATTTACTATGCCATTATTTTTCCATTATCTAATCACTTATGCCATTAAAAGCCCCATTCAATATTTAATCAATAAAAGCATAGTGAAATGGAGCTTTTTAAAGTGTTTTTCATTATTGTCATATAAAGTGCCAAAAATTTTTATGATTGTTTTATCACAAAACAAGTACTTTTTTTTTTTTTTTTTCAAAAATACAAGATAACATAGTGGATGGTTTGTTTTAAAAAAAAATTTCTTCAGCTAAGTAAGTCATAGAAATTTCTTATGCCTTTAGTACAAATTCTTTGATTTATATTTATCTTTCTGAATAATTTGTATGGTAATAATTATAGTTTTGAAGTTCAATGAATATATAGGCTACAGGTTTTATATCAGATGTGTATTCAATCATATCCTGAAAAAGACCTTTTTATTTTTTCACGCAAAAGATTCTATCACTCATTCTTTGAAAGTGCCCCCATAATGATTTTTAATAACTTCTTATCCTTCCATAGTTTAATATAAACAAAGTTTTGTAAGCTATCATACAGTATAAATTTGTCTCTCAAAATAGAAAATTTCCATGTTTAAAATTTGACATTCTGTGATTTGTTATAAAAGGTAAAATACTATTTCTTGTGTCTTTAGACTGTGTACAGGGACGATTCATTTCTCATGTGTTACTACCTCACTAGCACTTAATATGTGTGAAGAAATATGAAAATATGACACGGTGGCCAGAGAAAAAAACAAGGACAAGCATCTAGTTTCTTTTTGCCTTCTCTCTGAAATTATTACATAAATATCTCATGTATCTTCCTTGTGGCTCTTGTCTGAGAATTTGTGGAATTTTCTAACAGCTGTACTTTTAATCCAGAAATGTCAAGAGTATCTAGGTCTCTACCCAAATGATTTGCAATTCTTCTCTGTGCTAGGAGAATAACAACAAAGACAAGCTCATCAATTCCACATGAGCAGGGCTGAACTTGTGCTTTGCCTGCCTCACTGAGGATTCTTCCACATCCTTTTGCCAGATCCCTATTTGGCCAATCACCCATTATCTGCTAATTAGCTAGGGAGCAACAGTTAGGTGGACAGTCTTGAACTATAACAAAATTAATGGCCACATGGGCTTGACTTCAAGAGCTTTGCCTCATTAGCATTAATCAACAAACCTTCAAATACTTAACAAAATTGACTGAAGTAGAATCATTACTTTTAATTATTACTGTTGTAATAAGCTGAGGATTAATTTTTTTTAGACTGCTTAAATATGGCTAATTGCATTTTCTTAAAAAACAACAACAACAAAGCTTTTCTTTTTCTTTCCCATAGGTTTAGGCTTCAGTATTGCAGGAGGTGTGGGGAACCAGCACATTCCTGGAGACAACAGCATTTATGTAACTAAAATTATAGATGGAGGAGCTGCACAAAAAGATGGAAGGTTGCAAGTAGGAGACAGACTGCTAATGGTAAGCATGACTCATGCAAAACTATGGTGTATTTATAAAGCTCTTGTTTCCCGGTGTATGACAGTCTCAGTTCAGGCTGTCATAACAAAATACCATAGACTAGGTGGCTTACACAACAAAAATTTATTTTCTCGGAGTTCTGGAAGCTGGGAAGTTCAAGGTCAAGGTTCTTTCTCATTCAGTTCCTGGTGAGATCTCTTTTCCTGGCTTGCAGTCAACCATATTATTGTTGTGTCCTCACATGGCCTTCCACCTGTGCTTGGGCTGCGAGAAAGAGATCTCTCTCTTCTTACTGAGGCCACCGGTCAGTCCCATTGGATTAGGGCTTCACCCTTAACTCATTAAATTAATAACTTTAATTACCTCCTAAAGAATCTTTCTGCAAGTATAGTCATATTGGGTGGTGGAACTTCAGCCATTAAATTCCTAGCAGGGATCACGGGCAGAAATGGAAAAAAAGGAAGAGCAGATTTTGTGGTGGGAGATTTCGGAAGTTCATGTACAATCGTATCTGTTTGTTGACATCTTAAAAACAAATCTGAATTTTCACTAGTTTTCACAGATAGAACAAGACACAGATTGTTATTTTTCAAAGGTAACCTATTAGCCCAAGAGAGTGTTACTTGCCTGCTGTTAGTAAGGTGGGCTTTGCATAACAAAGGGTTCTCTGGTTTGTTGATATGTACATTTCGGTGTCTCCCTGTGGTCCCTTGTTCAACCAGTGAAGACGGTATAAACAGTCCCTGATTTACCAGAATTCATAATCTAAGTTCTGTCACATGTGTAAATGGATCCTTCCCCCCACCCCACACCCCCATCAGATAGGGTTAAGGCTATTTTATTTACCAGCTGCCTACATGCTTCAGGACCCTGAGCAATGACTAGCACCAACACATGGCTGCCCTTCCTAAGCCATGGAGTTCTAGGATAAACTAGAGCAAAATTAAGGCATGACATAAGCTGTACAAATTTGGAATTGCACTTAATAAAACTACTTTATCTCTATTTACTATTTTATATCAAACCTACAGGATAATAAATACTGAAAATAAAAGAGAGCTCTCATGAGAAGTATATTATGTCTGCCCTTGTAGAATATGACCTCTAATCTCTGCAAGGAGGCATTATCTGTAGCACAAGTGAGAAGTGTTTGGAAAAGGTCAATTTATATTCTCAACAGAACAGTAATTTCTGTGACATGTGCAATCTTCAGAGGTTGAACCTCAGTGCATTGTGCCCACTTCCTTGGGCTTTAGACAGCTTGTCCTTGGTCCCATTCATCTAGTTTCATAGTTGTCAATGATCTTGGTATTGAATTACCTAAATAAACCTTTATAATAATCTTGATAACTAATATTTATTCGGCATTTGCTACATTCCATGTATTTTTAAAAGTGCTTTTTTGTAATGAATTTATTTCTCACAACAAGCTCTTTTATATAAGCAAAGAGGAACTGAGGTATAGAGAGGTTTATTAACTTGGCCACAGTGATATAGTTAACAGTAGACAGAACTGGATTTCAAATCCAGGAACTGAGGCTTATAAGCACCAAGCATGATCTTTCATTTGTGTCTAGAATTTGCCAGTCGATTCATTACTTCATTTTTTTAGTTACCATTCATTCATTCATTCCTTTATTTAGCAAGTAATATAATGAACACCTACGATGTCCAAGGCAATAACCACTACTCAAGAAGTAACTCTGTCAGGAGAAAATTTATGATCATACTGGATGGGCAAAAAATGTGGCATTTATGACTTCGGTCAAAGTAGCAATGAAGAGTGTGGGCTTCTTTACCACCTGAAGTTTTTCTCTTTCTTTCTACCATTTTACTGTAGTATAGTTGACATATAAACAGCTTTACATATTTAATACATATAGCTCCATGGGTTTGGGTATTAAATATATACCCAAGAAACCATCACCATTATAAAGGCTATAAATATATTCATCATTTTCCAAAGTTTCTTCTCACCCCTATTGTTATTGTTTTTATTATTTTGTGCTTGTGTGTGCTGAGAACACTTAACATAAGATCTACCCTTTTGGTAAATTGTAAGTATGTAATATGCTTTTATTAGCAGTAGGCCCTATACTATGCAAGAGAACTACTATTTTCATTCTTGAGACATTCTGCATTTTTTTGTTGTTGTTGGCTGTTTTTTGTGTTTTCTGAATTTTTTTTTTGCCTTTGATGTAAAAGTTGGTTTTTCATAATCTTGTGTCTTCTGAACCAGAAAAGTATTATTGAGGTATAAGATCTAACAATGTCTCTCAAGAATATAAACTTTCTTGTTAGTTGACTTAGAAATCACCATGATATCCATCTTTTACATTGCATGAAATTTGAAAAAGCTGAAGAGGACATTTTCATTCTAAATTAATGGCTGTCACATTTGACCTTTGACTCATTGTTCTGTAAAGGTTGGTTATAGACAACTCTTTGCCATTTCTTTAGCTGCTGCTGTTGTAATATCAAGCTAGATGTTGTGTGTTGATTGCTTGAAGTTCTGTTTAAATTCCTAGCTTTATTTTAAAATTCTTTAAAAAATTAAATAAATAAAACCCTCAAAGTCTAAATAATTCTGTCAAAGGATTATCCAGGCACCACGCTATTGTTCCATTACCATTTTCTTGATATTCATTGTACATGTAATGATTTCAAAAATAGCTGAGACATAATCTTTAACTATTTTGAGTTTTAAAGCCTGTTTAAAAAAAAAAAAGGAACCTTCCACAATAATAGGTCTCTCCTCTCTTATGTAAGGAAAACATAATTAGTACTTCCAAGGCCACTGCCAAACTAAATCTGGAAATGAAAGTAAATGATTCATTTTATAATATTCTGAAAGAAAAATAATGCTGAAGAAAAGAATAAAAAAAAAATATATCACGGAAGCCACCCTGAAAGACCAATTATCTTGCTTCAACCCAACAATATTTATTAATGCTCTCCTTCTGTCATTCCTTTCCACTTCCTTTTCTCTTTATTACCCTACATTCACATCATCTTTATCTTTCTCCTCTTCCACTCTCCTCCCCCAAAGGAAGTACAAATAATTTAGATTCCATGATTTACCAGCTGTACCACACTGTATATTTTTCTCCAAATAGCTATTCTCCTTTCTAAAGCAATTTGCACCACTCCCTCCTCTCACTCCTTAGGAAAATTTCTCCCATATGTTATTCATTCATAGTTCTGTAAGCAAACTGGCCTAAAATGAAACTCTGTTAATTTCCTCATACCATATATGTTGGGTCCTTTTTTTCCCCCTAAGTACTTCTTATAACTCAGAATTGAAAAGTATCTCTCTTACATGTTATCTTTTTCCAACTCATTTGGTACATCAGAATCCACAGAAAAACAACGTGAAGTAGTCCCTCACCTCTGTGAGAACACACGAAGGGTGGAGAATTTAATGCCTCCTGGAAGCTACCCATTAGATCCTAGCTATCCTTAGATTTGTTTTCTCTTAAAATTATACCAAAACACATTTCCCTATACATTTCTTGCTTTATTCACAGCTCTGTCCCTTGGAGACAGAAAGGTAAAGATTAATTCTACATTTGTTTGAAAACTTACATCTTGCCACTTTTTTTACTTCTTAGCCTTTAAGATGTTTTACACATTTTCTCTCACTCTTGAAGTCAGTTTTACCACACAGCCACTTATCTTCTCTAAATAGATTACCCTTTTAAGAAAACTTTTGATTCCTTAGAATGTTATTCCCCCACTTTTAAAACCACAGGCAATATTGTTATATCTGACCTTTACATTTATTCTATAATAAGGAAAAAATTACTCTACCTATCACTTTTGCACTAAGACTCTTAGCATTTCAAATAAAACAACTTTAATGTCAGTCCTCTCTGATGTTTCCTCATGTGCTCAGAAGCATGGTATTTGTTCTCTTTACCAAAATTATATATATATATATATATATATATATTTAATTCTCCTGCTGCTTGGCACTAATCATTCACTAGAATTTTGTTTTTTTATTTTGTCAAATGCCAATGACATCTGATTTTTATGGACTATACCAGTGGTTAGTGTTGTGATCTCAGACTAAATACAGTAACTCCTGGCCTTTGATTTCTTGAGACAGATGGTCAGAAATTAACAGTATTAATAATTTTTAAATTCATTCATATATTTTTACACACTGGTTTTTATTAAGCCCTATCAAGATGATACAGAGGGCTACATATATTATGGAGAAGTGATCATTTTCTTCATCTTTTTTCTGCACAATACCAGAAAATTTGAATCCAGGGTCATCTGTCTTTTCTACAGCAATGATGTGAGCTGTTAATTGTTGAAACTTCCAACACATTGTGATTGGAAGTTTATAGTCTTAGTCTCCTTTTTTCATAACTTGCTTGACCTTGAAAGAAAAACATTGTCAGTAAGAGTACTTTTACATTTTTACAGAGAATAAGTTTGTGTTTTTATTTCCTTAAAGGGAAGGCGTAGACAAGGGGAAAGGTAAGAAAGGCATTGAGCGAAGTGGGAAGACCGTTGACTCACAGCCAGTCAACCAGAATTAATTCGACCTAAATGACTTTGGGCAAGAAATGTACGTCTTTGGTCTTCTGTTTTGGCCTCTATAGCATGGTAGCAGTGCCTTAGATCAGTGTTTCCCAAGTGTGTTTTAAAATACTAATCTCATTATTGTGTCACATGAAAAGGTCAACTAAGTTTGGGAAATTCTACAACCTGTATCTCACCTCTCTTACAGATTCTCAATGAACTTAAGTATATTAAAGAGTCAGTGAAGTTCTGTAATCAAGGAACTAATTTAACTTGAACACTATAATCTTCAGACTTCATTATGCAGCACTTTGCTTAAAGTGAGCAAAGGAGCTTAAAGCACCTAGAACTAGTGTTCAGGGGAGTAGACTTGATGTGCTGTGTGAGAGTGACTTTTTGTTTATTTTATTTTTTAATTTTTTTATTACGTTAGTTAGCCAGCATATAGTACATCATTAGTTTTT